AGAGAGAGAGAGAGAGAGAGAGAGAGAGAGAGAGAGAGAGAGAGAGAGAGAGAGAGAGAGAGAGAGAGAGAGGGCAAAAGAGGGCAAAAGTGCCACTTACACGTCTCCACAGGAGCCAATCCGACCGATTTGATGACTGGAACAATACAGAGGCAAGCTTGTGCAACAGTCTCTTTGTCATCCTCCTCCTCCAGTGTCCGAATGTACGCCTCCATCACCGTGTCTTCAGACAGAAATCAAGATTTCACTTGTCAAGGAGGTAACCTACGCCACTCCAGCCATCAACGGCAACCTCGCCAATCTGTTGAAACTTGAAATCCAATCCAGAATTTGCATTTCTTCGAACCCTTGTGTGCTGCGTAATGCCCGGCCATTTCACACCCTATGTGCTGCGTACTGCCCAACCATCGCACACCCTTATGTGCTGAGCACTGCCCGGCCATTTCACACCCTTATGAGCTGAGCACTGCCAGGCCATTTCACAGTGTGTGCCTGTATTTATTAACAGTATTCGCCATTCAATGCATTCAACCCTGAAGACTGCACATTTTTTTTCTTTTTCTTTTTCTTTTCAAAACATCACATCTCTAAACTTGTAATTAAACGCGCAATTGAAGTTCGGAAAACTTCATCACAAATTTGGAGTGCGAGGTCAAACAAAAGGAAGGACGAGAAGAAAGACTTAGAGCAGGAGAGAGGATGAGAACAAAATAAGCATATCACACCTAGTAGGCTAGTACCGAAAAAAACGATGAAGGGTCATGGAACCTAATGCCAAGGGAGGCGCAATTCAAACAAACGGCACGGCCCTTCCAATACAAATATCCAACAGACAAGCCAGCACCTTCACATCACCATTCACAAGAAAAGCATCAACAGAAGATCAACGCCCCTAAAGAAACAATCTGGCAGCTTGAGCCGTTTCTGCTCGCAAGTCTGGTGTTCATTCGACTAACAGAAGGTGAAAAAGGAGAAGAACAGCACGAAGAACTCACTCCTCACCAAACAGAAAAACAGAGAAAAAGGAAAAAGCACAAATCGCATGTTGCAACAATGTTGCCTGACAAAGCCGGGTTTCAAAAATTCGACAGGATGAAAGGATACCCAAAACGTGCTTAACTTCAGCTGCAATCGGCTGCAGCAGCATAGATTAATTCAGCAGCACGACCGCAGAAAACCAGAACAAGGCATCAACAGATATCAAAACACAGAGGGCAGAAGTGAGCGTCAGCTTCCAGAATTTCTGAATTTGTCAAAAACTGAGCACAGATTCCAGAAAAGGGATTTGGGAGAAAATACTTCAGGAGATGCATCAAAATTTGGAACGATATCGAAACAATTGAAAAGATCCATTGACTCAGCTACCAGCCGGGCCGCCAAGGTCACCTTGTTTTCCCAGGCGGTCCGGCCGTGCAAGGACAACGGAAGGTCCCGGGAAAAGAAAAAAAAAAACAAAAAAATAAGTGGTTCAAGGCAGAATAGTTTAGTAGGTTAGAACAGCGGAATCATAATTCGCATGTCGGGGGTTCGAATCCCTCTTCCGCCAGTCGTCTATCTATGCTTGAAAAAAGTTCCCGGCAGGGAAAGTGGCCCCGGGCCTCTCTGGTAGCCTACCAAGTCCATTGATGATGACACTCCACAAAATTGAACAGGGACCCAGACAACAGACATAGGGAGCAAACATGAGAGCACGGACATTCTGATCGTGGCTTCAAAGTGCAAACTCCAAAAGGGTGAGTTCATCATACACATAAATACAATCACCACACGACCGAAGTCCATTTGGATTGTTATTTTAATGAAAGATTAATGAGGCTTCTCTTTCCAGCATTCTTGTCCGATCTGCCTCTCTTATTAACTCTGATGAAATTGGCCACTTGGCTCAAACGCAATGCCATCATATAAGCTCAGGGAGTGAGGAGTAGCTATGGCGCCCTAAACCACACGATATCAATCGAAGCTTTAGATACAGCACAACATATTCGCAAGGCGCCGCATTATAAAAAAAATAAAAAAATGCTTTGAAGGAATTGTTACAAACGATATTCCACACTGCTTGGTGATAATGAATGCAAATCAGAATTCCATGGCCATACTTGAAGCTAGTCTCTCTGGCAAAGATCGGATGCGTAGCATCTGCTCAGGGGAGCGAAATGAGAGCCCGGATAGAATCGTACAAGACCCAAGCAAACTGAATGACGCAGCACTACGACCATTTAGTGAAAGCTGAGAGTCATGAGTTAAGACTGAAGAGACTTGGCCAAAACAAAAAGAGGACAAAAAAGCCGGAAAAAAACGCACTAGATTTTTCACAGTTGTTGTTCCTGTATTTTCAAACACCATATACATTCCATTCACAACGCAATGCAAACACTAACTTAGACAAGTCACCCTGTATTTCCCAGACAAGGAAAGAAAGGGCAACAAGTTACAAAGAACTGTCAAACAGCAGCAAAGCCCCAAAAGGATTTCTCGACCCTCGTTCTGCCGGCATTCGATCAGTTTCACGACAAAACACTCTTTTCCGTTGGAAATTGGAATGCACCAGCATGAGAACTTCAATGAAGTCTCTCTCAAGTCTGTGCAAAAGTGAAATTCCGCATCAAGCGCAAACGAATAAACCC